GAGTTGTTTTCAGATTTTCCTGTGGATGGCTTGCTAAGAAACTGGAAAGAGATTGCTTCCAATGCTAGATGCAAGAGGACTCTTTGTCCGTTTTGGTCCCCTCCCCCCTCGGGCTTTATAAAGCTGAATTTTGATGGCAGCAGTGTAAGGAATCCAAGGCCCTCTGGGATTGGAGGAATCTTCAGGAATGAGAAAGGGATTGTTATTGCTTTATTCTCTGGCCCTATTGGAGAAGGTGACTCTCTTAGGGCTGAGATCCTTGCAGCGCTTGAAGGAATTCGAAGAGCAAAGGAATTAAATATCAGTCGTTTGATCCTGAAAGGTGATTTGAAGGTGGTGGTTAGTTGGTTGAAGACAGAGGACAGTGGTTTGTGGAACTTTAACGATAAAAAAAAAAAAAAAAAAACAGTTCTTATGGCTGGGTAGGGACATTGAGATTCAGTACAGCTGGGTGAAGAGGAGTGCCAACTCATTTGCGGATAGGTTGGCCAAGCAAGGAGTGAATAGGGAGTTTGTTTTTTGGGCTAGTTTTTAATCTCTTCTCTTTGCACTCCCTTTGTTTTCTGTTTTTTGGGAGCTAAGATATTTTATCTCCCCTTTTGTATCCATATTCCCTCTTTTCTTTTAATTTAATGAATCTAGTGTTATTGATAAAAAAAAAAAGATCTTGATGTTCCTATTGCTAAGAGAAAGGGTGTTAGATCCTGTACCACTAATCATCCTATCTCTCACTTTGTGTCCTATGACCATATTTCACCTTCATATCGTGCATTCCTCTCTTCTGTTGACAGTGTCCCTATTCCTAAGAATGTGACGAAAGCTTTATCCAAACCTAAATGGACAGATGCAATGAAGGAAGAAATTGATGCAGTACACAAAAATGGCACTTGGGAGTTGGTGGATCTTCCTGAAGGGAAGGAACCAGTGGGTTACAAGTGGGTGTTCACAGTGAAATACAAGGCTGATGGAACTATTGAAAGGTACAAGGCCAGACTAGTGGAAAAAAGTTTTACATAGGTATATGGAGTGGACAATGCAGAGACATTTGCTCTAGTAGCCAAGATGAACTCTATCAGGATTCTTCTTTCATTGATAACAAATCTTGATTGGGAACTTCACCAATTGGACATTAAAAATGCTTTCTTGAATGGTGACTTAGAAGATGAAGTGTACATGACCCAACCTCCAGGTTTTTGTGCCAAAGGTAGTGAACAGAAAGTGTGCAGGTTAAAAAAATCTTTATATGGGTTGAAACAATCACCTCGGGCCTGGTTTAGTAAGCTCCACTTAGCAGTTCAACAAATGGGGTTCAAACAATGTCAGTCAGACCACACTCTATTTGTGAAGAAAGGTGAAAGGAAAATTACAGCTTTAATTGTGTATGTGGATGACATAGTGATCACAAGAGATTGGGAGACTGAAATACATAAACTAAAAAAAATCTTAGCCACTCAATTTGAGGTGAAAGATCTAGGCCCCTTACGTTATTTCCTTGGAATTGAAATTGTCCGCTCTCACAAGGGCATCTTTATTTCCCAACGGAAATACGTACTAGATCTACTAGAAGATACAGGCAAGCTAGGGGTGAAACCAATTGACTCACCAATTGAACCTAACCATCAGCTGGGAGACAGTCAGGGAGAGTTCTTGAAAGATGTGAAGAAGTTTCAGAGACTTGTAGGGAGACTCTTGTATTTGTCTATGACCAGGCCTGATATTGCTTATGCAATGGGTGTCCTTAGTCAATTCATGCACAATCCTAGGACAACTCACTTTGAAGTTGTAGAGAGGATCCTTAGATACCTCAAGAAGTTTCCCGGAGCTGGTTTGTCGTTCCAAAACCATGGACATTTAAAGGTGGAAGTACATAATGATGCTAATTGGGCAGAGGCAGTTGATGACCGAAAGTCTACCAATGGGTATTGTGCCTTTGTAGGAGGAAATTTGGTCACATGGAGAAGTAAGAAGCAAAGTGTGGTGGCTAGATCCAATGCTGAAGCAGAATATAGAGCTATGTCTAATGGGTTTGCTGAAATCATGTGGATAAGAAACCTATTAGGTGAACTGGGTTTTGCAGTTAGCAACCCTATGTCACTCTATTGCAACAATAAAGCTGCTATCAACATTGTAGCTAATCCATTCCTCCATGATAGGACGAACACATTGAAGTGGACAAGCATTTTATTAAAGAAAAACTTGTKAATGGAGAAGTGCTCCATATGTCAGCTTAGAAAAACAACTTCCAGACATCTTCACCAAGGGTTATCATCATGTGTGGCATAATGATTTGTGTGACAAGTTGGGCATGATTGACATCTATGCTCCAACTTGAGGGGGAGGTGTTGAAATAGTTCATTTTATTTCTTGTCTATTAATTTTGTCTTGTTAGGGTCTGTTTGGTTGGTTAAAGCCTTTTTATTTTTTTTGATATTGTATTTCACTTTATAGTAGGGACACAAGGATCTTTTCCCTTTTTATTTTAGTCGCCCTATATATACTGATAGATGTTGGCACCGCTAGCACTGTTCTATTGTTGCCAGTCTTTCTTCTTCTCTTCTCTTCTCTCTTATTTTCAATCGGCTTTATTGCCAAGAATAATAAAGACAAGACTGACCTTTTACACAACACTATAGTTATTAATTAAAAGTTTGTAACAATTCGGTTGACTAATCAAAACTGAAGGATAAGAAAGCATAAGGCTTATTGTAGAATAAAGACAATCAAGAGAATAAGATAACACATAAACCTTTCCACCTAGAACGTCTCTTGCTTCCAATAATATAGGCATGTGACCTGCATCTGCTAGATACTTGGCAGTGGATAGACCTGCTAAACCTATGAGTAAATTAAAATGTAGATTTCAGAAATATAATCAAATAAGATCATCAAAATTTCTCCAAAGTAGATCAATTTCATCTGTATGTAGTATATACACTTGCTTAGTATAAGTACTTATAATCAAATAGAGATGTAAATAATGTAAGAATCTGAAAGAGAATATTAGATGAAAGACATGAAAATTGTTAAAAAATAAATAAAGAGATAATGGGGATAAAAGCTGTCAAGACATAGAAGAAATACCAAGAGAGCATATCCCATGTGATGGAATATGAAAAATGAGATAGAGAGATATGTTGTATTCGTCACAATTATGTCATTTTTTTGGTAATAAATAAAATGGAAATTTTAGCAAGAAAAACAAAAAACTACATCCAAGAAGGTGATATCAACCACTGGTACAATATCCACAATTCAAAAGAAAAAAGGAAACACAAAAGGTAACAACAACCACCAAATGTTCTAAACAATTATAACATCTTGTTTTGGTTTCAGTTTACTATGCAGTTGAAGATTTATTAATGGCTGGTTTATGGTTCAGTTAGCTGTGTTTAGTTATTGTAATTGCTGTTTTTTATATTTTTATTTTCCTTTTTGAGTTATGGGCTGTTAGGGGTAGAATGGTCCTTTAAGTGTTGGCAATTGATATATAATGTTTGTATCCAAATCTTGAAGAATATAAGAGAAGAAGTTTTGAAGAAAAAGTGGCAGAAGATTGTATCTTTCTGCCTGTGAGTGGTGTGGTAAGGCTACTTGTGGTGGTCTCCTTGAAAGACGAAGGAAGGCTAAGGGCAAAGGGTAGGCTAGAGGCTCTAATTGACAGAATGTCCCTCTCATTCTGAGTTAGGCCTCCTTTTATAGGGAGTGATCACGAGGTCCTAAAAGGAATGAGCTAAAAGTATTTGATTCCCATTTGGAAAGGGAATCTTAGATTCGGTGTCAATTGCCAGGGGAACACCGCTAAGGGTTCACCACACGTCTTATGAGATCTCTCAAGGACGAAGTTTCCTTTCATCTGAGGATTCTCATAACACATTGTACACTACTTTCTTTTGTGGGTCTCCTATACTGACGTGTCACGAATGATGTCATTACTAATCTTACGTATCTCTCTTAATTTGACTGGGCATCCTATCATGAATGACATTGATCAGTCATCATGTTTATTCGCTTGTCATTGATCTATGATGGCTGTGAGCTCATCGCAGGTCTGCGATGGCTATGAGCTCATCGCAAGCTTGCGATGGCTTTGTGCTCATCGCGGGCTTGAGATGGCCTTGTGCTCATCACAGATCCCTGATGACTTCGGGAGTGTCATTATCGCAGCTTTGAGTCTGCTGTAGGTTCGTGGTGAGTTCATCGCAAGCTCGTTTTGGGCTTTGAGCTCATCGCAGCTTTGTGTCGAGTCGTGGACTCGTCACGGGTGTCTCTGTGACATTGGTTTAGCACCTTCTACGCTATTGCGGTTGTAGTGATCAACATGTACCTACACTGCCCAAACCAAAATAGCTTTTATACTTGGGTTTAAAACATAGTAAAATTATAAAGAAGCCCTTAGAAGGGCAGTACAGTAAAAAAACAACATAACATAAGAGGCCCAGACTATTTATCTCATACAACACTCCCCCCAAAGTTATTGATATAGGATGGGTAGGGGTCCTACCAACTTTTTTTATCAATAGCTGGATCAGATTCATTAGATTAAAACAAAAAATACAAAGAGCAATAAAAAGGGCAGCCCAATGCATGAGGCTCCCGCTAATGTGGGGTTTGGGGAGGGACAGCTGTACGCAGCCTTACCCTACACATACAAAGAGGCTGTTTCCAAGATTTGAACCCTGGTCATCCAAGTCGCAATGGTGCAACCCAACCATTGTGCCAAGGCCCACCCTCATACAAAGAGCAATAAATGGAGGGATAAAACCTCTTAACTCTCCCTTAATAGATAAAAAAACATGCTTACAACAAAGCCGAAAATATTTGATTCCTCCTCCCACCCACCCTTGTTCATCCAACTTAGGATCTGGTGGTAGGTTTTGTGGGTTTTAATGAGAGCTGTGGATGATTAGGGATGATGAATATGTGGTAAAGCAAGTAGAATGCTTGTCATCAAAGAATGAGAATGAAATTAGAGAGAGAGAGAGAGAACTTTTGCTGTTAGGATAAACAGCACAGAGATAGATCACTTGGAAGAAGAAACAAGAGAGACGGGGAGAAGAGAAATTTTTGGCAACAACCAGAATTCACTAAACTAAACTTTATTTCTTCAAATTACTCTTTCTTGAACCCCAATTACAATGACTCTATTTATAGACTCAACTTACTAACTCGGATGTCCCTTTTCAGACTCCAATTTGGATTGGGAAATTGACCCAACAGATCTCATAATTGCTTTAAAATTAAGACAAATCCATAACTAACCCATTAGGACACTTAAATAAGGCCCCCAACTCCTAAACAACTCTAATAACAATTTCCTAATATCACTAAAACTACTTAATTTAAAGACATCAGAAATTACTAAAAATAGTAAACCGCGAGCTTGCTAAAATAGTGATTGCAATAATTACTATAAATAGTAAGTCCGAGAGTTACCATAAATAGTAATTTCGAAATATCAATGAAAATCTAAAAACAGAACCCTATTCTTAACCCACAACTAGAAAATTAAAAAAAAAAAAAAAAAACAGAAATAGTACCAATAACCTATAACACAAAAATAAATTTCGTTTGTTTCCCCATTAAGTATTTCCTGCTTCTGCTTTTGCATCAATTACCATTGATATTTATCACGTTCGGCTTGCCCCAACAATTCATGGAACCTAGCTTTCATCCATCCTTTAATGAACACATTTGCAAGTTGTCTCCAAAGGGCATGTAAGGAATACAAAGGCATTTCTTGAACAAAATGTTTGTCAAACTCAATGTGTTTCGGTCATGTTGAATACTTGAATAGGATTATTTGCTATATTGATTACTACTTGATTATCACAATAAAGCTTAAGAGGACTAGTAACTTTGACTCACAGTTCCTCCATCAGAATTTGAAGCCACAACAATTTTGTAGCACCATGGACCATAGCCCTATACTATGCCTCAGCATTGAATCTAGCCACAACAGTTTGTTTCTAACTCCTCAATGTAACTAGATTCCTATAATAGAGGTTTAGTACCCAGTTGTGGACTTTCTATAACTAATGAAACCTCCCCAATCTGCATAGGTATAAGCATCAATTTCCATTTTCTTTCTTGGACAAGTCTTTATGTATCAAAGATTCTTTGAACTGCTTTCATATGAGAATTTTTGGGAGCATGCATGAATTGACTCACAACACAGACTGCATATGCAATATTTTTTTTGAAAGATAAAAGAATATTTCATTAAAATTTTGATTACAGATGGCAGTAGGTGTTGAGACAACACCCAGAGCAACACAAGCCAAATACAACAAAAATAAGAAAGAAAAATGAAGAGGATGAAACAATCTCCAGAAATCTTCCAGCAAAATTAAAACTCCTAAACTACCTGACCGCCACCCTCCCAACACTTTGCCCAATGCCGACACCCCAACATTGAAACTTCTACTCAGTGATTTAAAAGGCGTGCCTCAGGCGGTAAAAGGATCATGGATTGGGTTCTCCATGGATTATTGGAAGATGAAGCTCGATCAAGGGAGACCATATCACTCTTCTTTGCGGTAAAAGGATCATGGATTGGGTTCTCATTCTCCCAGAGCTTGAAGGGGTTACAAAAGAAGATCTTGGTGTTGGTTRGATTTTGGAACATTCTTGAGTTGGCTTAAAAGCTGTCTTTTCTTGGCTTTTGTATTTTGTCTTTCTTCTTTGAGTGCCTATTTTTGCATCCTTTTGTATTTCTACTGATCCCTTATCACCCTCAGCTGTACTTTCCTTTTCTGTCAATAAATTTTATTTTTTATTTATTACCAAAAAAAGAGAATAAGAGTATTTAGGTATTTATGTTAGTAAGGATATGTTTGCCTTTTAACTTAAAAGGGTATTATTGTCTTTTGGAGGGGTGCCAGCCCAATGGATAGTTCTTTTCTCTTCTACCATTTGTTTCTCTATTCCCTTCTCGTTTTTCTTTTTTTTTTCAATTCTCTTCTAGTCTCTATTTCTGCACCTCTAAACAGGACACAGAAAATGCAAAGATTTGCAACTGATAAAATGCAAAGAAAGCCAAGAAAAAAGTTTCACTTTTACCTGCACCAACAATTACAACTTGTAATGGTTTGTTTGGACGGGGAGAAGTACGAAAGGATGAAGATAAGTAAGCAGCTTCTAAGAAATTAACAGTATTCTCAAGTTCTGGTCTTGGATAATCCATGCAAACAACCTGCATCATAAAAATAATGGTTTTATCTCTTTTCCTTATGTTTTCATGCAAATCTTCCATAAATATAAATAAAACTATAAATGCAGCAATAGCAAACCTGCAAGGGGCCAATATGCTTCCTTGGCCTTCTCAAATGATATCCCATGAAAACACTCCTTCCAAAGGCTAATGGATTGTTGTAAGTGAAAATAGAAGAGAATCTATAACCTCGAGTTGAATGCAACTTCCACAGATTTGTTCCATTAGCTTTCCCAATTGGATTGATAGCAGAAGCATATCCAGTTATAGTCATTTTCACCAACCAACTTGATTCTCTGATTTACGATTTCACCACAATTACACACACCGTATAATTAACTCCCACACTGATGAAGCTGTAGAATAGCCATAACAATGGAAAATTAGACTTTCTTTTCCTGTAAGTGTGAAGTCAATCTATGATTGATCAAGCTTTAGCACCATTACAAAAACCAAAAATGAGATACCAGAAAAAATAAAATCAAGTCACTTCAATCAAAGAAAGTGTAAGCTAAGCTCTGATCACTTGAAAAGACTATTAATAATTATCTGCAACAAAAAAAATACCGTTAAGGATAACTATGCAACTATTCAATGACCAAATAAATCCTGTGAAAAATCATGTGAATGTAAAATGCAACAAGCTAGTTCTGGAAAACTAAATTGTTGTTTATACTGAAGAGCAGAGGTTATGACATGAAACAAGTAAAATAGAGAACCAATTTGGGTCTATGCTAGGGAGATTAACCATGGAAACTATATTTCTTTTGAGACGACTGATAGAAAAGTTTAGAGAGAAGAGTCTCCATATGGTGTCATTGACCTAGAAAAAGCATATGATAGAGTCCTCATAGAGATAATATGGTGGGTCTTGGAGGAGTCTCCAATAAGTATATAGACCTAATTAAGGATATGTATGAGAATGCAATAATCAATGCTAGAACACCTGTGGGAGAGTCATCAGATTTTGCGGTTACAATAGGTCTTTACCAAGTTTTAGCACTCATCCCTAATTTATTTGTATTGATCATAGATGAATTAATTGGACATATTCAAGAGGACGTCCCATGGTGTATGTTGTAGTCGAATAGGACTACAATCAGTCTTAGGTTTAATGTGCAATTAACAAAGAAAGATTGAGAAGAGAGAAGAAGATAAGAAAAGATAAGAGGAGAAGAAGAATTCAAGAGATTTAAGAAAAGAGAGTCAGTCAACTGTTGCCCCACTCTTACAATTTATATTAATTCTCAAATAAAAGTAAAAGGGCTGAATTACCCTTACTGCTTACATGGCAAAATAATAAAAAGAAACTAATAGCTATAAACTGAAATAAACTACCAACTAACAACTGAAATAACTAACTGCTAACTACAGTCATATCAGCACAGTGGGGACCACATCAGTGTTCTCTACACTCCCCCTCAAGTTGGGAATAGATGTTTGTCATTCCCAACTTGTATAAATCTGTTTCTAACTTCTTCTTTGAAACAGCCTTGGTGAGAAGGTCAGCAAGCTGCATGTTGGAGGTGATATATGGAAGGCACACTTCTTGAGAGGCAACCCTTTCTCTAATAAAATATCGGTCCACTTCAATATGCTTAGTTCTGTCATGTTATACTGGATTATGGGCTATATTAATAGCAGCCTGATTATCACAGTACAGCTACCCAACTCCTCAAATAGTGATTTCAACCTTAGTATTTCAGCCACATCGTTTGCCATGGACATATATTTAGCTTCAGCACTAGAAGAAGAAACAACATTTTGTTTCTTACTCCTCCAAGAGACAAGATTACCTCCTACAAAAGCACAATATCCAGAAGTAGACCTTCTATCAACAAGACACCCAGCCCAATTAGCATCTTTGTAAACTTCTATCTTCATGTGATCATTATCCTTGAATAGTACACCTCTGCCTGGACATCTCTTCAAATATGCCAATATCCTCTCAACTGCAAGTAGGTGAGTAGTTCTAGGAGAGTGCATATACTGACTAACAACACCGACTGCATAGCTGATGTCCAATCGTGTGAGACAAAGATAGAAGAGTTTTCTAACTAACCGTTGGAACATAGATTTATCTTCAAGGGGCTCTCCACCTTCTGCACTGATCTTGTGATTTTGTTCAATAGGTGWATCAGCAGGCGCAACACCCAGTTTTCCTGTCTCTTCCAACAAATCAAGAACATACTTTCTTTGAGAAACAACCGGTTCCGGGGGACTGTTTTAGTCCATACAAGGCTTTATTCAACCAGCAAACCTTCTTTCTTATTTCTGCACTATAAAATCCAAGAGGCGTTTTTAACAACTGGTTTATTTCTGCACTATAAACTTTTGAAGAGCATGTAAACTTCTTCTTGCAAGTCTCCATTGAGGAAGGTGTTTTTAACATCTATCTGAAACAAAGGACAGGAGTAACTGGCTGCAAGAGATAATAAAACTCTGATAGTGGCCATCTTTGCTACTAGTGCAAAAGTCTCCAAGTAGTCTATACCATATGTCTGAGTAAATCCCTTTGCAACTAATCGGGCCTTATACCTTTCAATGGAACCATAAGCATTATGCTTTACAGTAAACACCCATTTGCATCCAACCGGTTTCTTCCCTTTAGGTTGATCAACTAGTTCCCAGGTATTGTTTCTCATAAGGGCATCCATTTCTACCTTCATTGCATCCTTCCACTCAGGAACTGACAAGGCTTCTTGCACTGTTCTAGGAATGGGAATATCAGCAATGGATGCAAGAAAGGACTTGTAAGAAGGAGACAGATGATCATAAGACAAGAACTGTGAAATACAATGGATTGTGGATGAGGTGCAACAGCATTTGCCTTTACAGACTGCAATGGGGAGGTCAAGGTCATTCAATGGAGGTGAGGGCTCAACAAAAGGTGGTGAAGGCTCAACAGTGGAAGGTATCTCATCTGTAATAGAAGAAAAAGAAACTGTGGTACCTGGACCTGGATCCACAGAAGGAATTGGGACTGGCCTAGACTGCTAATGACCGAAATCAACCTGCCTCCACTGTCTGTAATAGACTCTCAAATCCCGGCACCTCTAACAACCCTCCCCATTACACCCCTCTTCACTCAATGGGATAGGTAAAGGAACTTCTGATGAGTTAACCCCAACCTCACTACTCTCCCCCTGAGAAGAAACCCTAGGATGATAAGTTACATCCTCAAAGAAAGTGACATCCATAGAGACAAATCTCCTCCCAGAAGTATGTTCATAACAACAATATCCCTTTTGAGTTTGTGCATAACCAAGGAACATACATTTTGAAGCTTTAGGATCAAATTTGGAACGGTGAGGACCAAGAGTCTGAACAAAGCATGTACAACCAAAGGTTTTAAGAGGAACGGTAAACAGCTTTTTATCAGGATATAAAAGAGTGAATGGAGGTTTCATGTCAAGAACTTGTGAAGGAATTTGGTTGATGAGATATACAGCTGTAAGAATGGCATCTCCCCAAAAACGTATAGGCACATTGGAGTTAAACATGATGCTTCCAGCCACCTCCAATATGTGCTTATTCTTTCTCTCAGCAACCCCGTTTTGTTGAGGTGTACGAGGACAAGTACTCTGATGGATAATCCCATGGTCAAGAAAATATGAGGCTAGTGGTTTTGCGAAGGTAAGAGAAGGACTACTGAGGGAGCAGCTAGTGTAGGATTGCCCTGGGCTGGGTTGTAATCTGTAACAAGTTGCTTTTTGTTTAGTTGTTTTTGTTTTGTTTTCTGTATTGAGGATCCCCTTCATGAGCTATTGTACTTTTTGGTTGGGTGTGTGCTTTCTTAGCAGCTGGGCAGAGTTAATGAAATTTTTGTTGCTAATAAAAAATGTTGTTTATGTAATTAGGGGTCGTTATGTCTTTTCATCTTATTTTAATTCACCCTAATATAATAATGAGTGGGGTAGCCGTCCACTCTAACTTTTTGCTCTCATATTGTGTCTCTTCTCCTCTTGACTTTTTGTCTATCAAACCTACACATGAAATCATTTGTAGAGATGCAGAGCAATAACTTTTGTTGTTAGTTATTTATTGTGGTCCCCACTGCTGCTGTTAGTTAGTTTTATATTTGTTGTTAGGATGTTGTTAGCAAAGTTAGTTTATTAGTTATTTTGTTATTTGCCTATGTAAACAGTAGGGACTTAAATGTAATTATCATCTTTTAATGTTATTATAAATAGATGAGTGGGGTGGCAGATATAGCCTATCACTCTTTCTTCCATCTTTCTCTTCTCTCTTCTTTCTTCCTCTTTCTTCTTCTTCTCTCTTCGCCAGTTTTCTTTCTTTTAAATCTGCATCAAGAATTGGACTGATCACAGTCCAGAATTGTCTACTTGGTATCAGCAAGATCTAGGGCTTCTCATGTTAGTCTAATCCAGCCAACCACATGAGAATTGCCTAAGACTGGAAGTTTAGAAAGATCATTCCTTTCAGCTGATTCTTGGAGGTTACCAGAAGTTTTTAGCAGTTGTCCAAAGATTGGAGAATGTTCTTGGTAATCAAGAAGAATCAGAAAAGGTTAAAGGGATCAAGATTAGGTTTTGATCAAGATTGAAGGTGGCAATCAGAATTTTCTGGGTAAATTTTCATCTCTTCTTGAGGCCAGCAGCAGTAAGAGATAAGTTGGACTTATCTAGAAGGGGCGGCTGAGCTTCCTTTATTTTCTCAGTTTTTTTCTAGGGCTTATTCTTAACCCTACGACGAGTTTTGACTGTGAGCCTTATTTAGAGGGTGCGGCTGAAAAAAATCTGACTTTGAACCTTTTTGGAGGGTGTGGCTGAGAAAAACCTGACTGTGAATCTGTTTTGGAGGGTGCGGCTGAGAATTGTTGTTGTTCTCACAAGGTTTTCTCCAAGTGTCCTTAACCCTAAGATCAGACCTGATCTTTGACTGGTTCCTAAACCTGTTTTATCATTTAAAATTGTTTTCTGAGTGAATTCTAGACTTGTTTTCAGCCTCCAAATCTGTTTTTGAGGAATCCCTTTACTGAGAACTGGTTTCTCTTGGTAAACCTACTACAGAAATGGCAGGAGCTGAGTTTAAGACTCAAGGGGAAGGTTTTTTGGGGACTGGAAACATGGGGGAAAACAATTTTCTGATTTCAGTTTACTTTTCAACTTTGAAATCATTATGGCGTGAAATTGACCATCTAGAAACTATTGAGTGGGAGAATCAGAATGATGCACAAACCTATTAAAAACAAGTTCAGACCAATAGGGTTTTTGAATTCCTAGCTGGTCTGAATTCAAATTATCATATTGTGAGACAACAATTACTCACAAGGGAGAGTGTGACCTTATCTCAAGCCTATTCTTTAGTGCATAGTGAGGAAAGTAAGAGAAAGGTAATGTTGCAGTTTCAGCCCATGGAATCAGCCTTGACAGCCGTAAAACCGAAATTTGGGGGTGACAAGGAAAGGGACACAAAGGATGATAAGAAGGACCTAGTTTGTGACCACTGTAAGAAGCCAAAGCACACTAAGGATACTTATTGGAAACTTTATCCTCATTTAATGCCAGCAAAGATCAGAAATAAAA